TCTGAATCATATAACCTTCTAGAGTTCAAATGGAATGTTAGGATAGGTCAGTTTTCTTTTAAACCCCCTCAATTACAGCGTGAAGGAATGTCGGTTTTCTTTTGTACCCCAATTATAGCGTGAAGAAATCCCAATTAAAGCATGAAGGAATGTTAAGACAAGTAGTTTTCTTTTGACACTCCAATTAAAGCGTGAAGAAATGTTAAGACGGGTAGTTTACTTTTGACACTCCAATTAAAGCGTGAAGAAATGTTAGGATAGGTCAGTTTTCTTTTAAAGCCTAATTACAGCGTGAAAGAATGTCGATTTTCTTTTGTACTCCAATTAAAGCATGAAGGAATGTCGGTTTTCTTTTGTACCCCAATTATAGCGTGAAGACACTCCAATTAAAGCGTGAAGGAATGTTAAGACAGGTAGTTTTCTTTTGATACCCCAATTATAGCGTGAAGAAACGTTAAGACAGGTAGTTTTCTTTTGACACTGCAATTAAAGCGTGAAGAAATGTTAAGACAAGTAGTTTTCTTTTGACACTCCAATTAAAGCGTGAAGGAATGTTAGGATAGGTCAGTTTTCTGTTGAACCCCAATTATAGCGTGAAGGAATGTCGGTTTCTTTTGTACCCCAATTAAAGCGTGAAGGAATGTCGGTTTTCTGTTGTACCCCAATTATAGCGTGAAGACACTGTAATTAAAGCGTGAAGAAACCCCAATTATAGCGTGAAGGAATGTTAGGATAGGTCAGTTTTGTTTTCGCCTGTCAATGACCCCAGCAAAGAATGTTTGGGTAAGGTCAATTTTTCGTGATTTTCGAAATTCACTCTTATTATTGTAATACTTTGACAACCTACTTAGGAAATCTGTTAAAACGGCAGAAGCCGAGTCGCGGAATATGTCGTGGTAAGGGTCATGAGAGGCAATCACTGTTTCTACGGCACTAAAAGTCTCCTATGCTCAAAGATCCTCAGCAAATAAGACCTGTAGTAACCTATGTGACTGAAACGTGGTCGAATACCTAAAAAAGGAGAGATCATTCTGAGAGTGTTTGAGCGGAAGATACTGCGTAAGACTTTCGTTCCAACCCAAGAGAAAGACGATAGCTGGAGAGTCAGGATGAACCACGAGTTGGATAATATGATGGGGGCGAAAAGATAAGGAAGAGATAAAGGAAGAAGAAGAAGACTTGACAAGTGGAAGTTAGACGAAATCAAAAGAACGCACAAGTGGGAATCAAAACCATTCAAAATGTCACTTAACTCATGAGTAACCATCATTTTGTATGTGTGCATGTGTAGATGTTTGTACAGAATTTTTAGAGTTCTTTCAGACAATCCGTGAGCAGTTACATGCAAGTGCTGAACGCTTTGGAGATTGTGCTACATTTTGCGCAGAACTAGTTTCTCTAAAGTTTGACATCCAAGCTTGAATAGTTCTTCTATCTGGAACAGAATCAGGCTAGCTGTATACGATCCGAATGTAAAATGCTTGCTGAGTANGAGTTCTTTTCTTTAAATTAATCAAATTAAAGATATAGACACATTATAAACGTAATTAAGATTTGTTTAAATAATTCTTGTGTGTTCAAAACGACTTTAGTGTTGTTAAATCGTTGTAGTTGCTATAAATTAATCCCTAAACACTTCTGTCAAAATTGACAGGTAACTTAATAAATATTTTTTCCGTCGACCGTGTATTTATATGATTTATAAATGTATACAAAATCATTCATTAATGACACCTATTAATAAACGATTTTAAGAAAGTCCGACCGAACTAAATAGTAGTCAATTTAATAAATATTCTCCAATGAAATTTGTAATACCGACCCAACCGACCACTATATCTATTCGGTAAGACTACAAAAATAAATTATGACACATTAAAAGTGAGGTTATTTTGCCAGTGACAGAATTGAATTTTTGAAGTGACAGACACATTATAAACATAATTAAGGTTTCTTTAAATAATTCTTGTGTGTTTAAAACGATTTTAGTGTTGTTAAATCATTCAAGTCGACATAAATGGGTCCTTAAACACTTCTGTCAAAATTGACAGGTAACTTATTAAGTATTTACGAACGAACGCACAAGTGGGAATCAAAATCATTCAAAATGTCACTTAATTCTTGGGTAACCATCATTTTGTATGTGTGCATGTGTAAATGTTTGTGCAGAATTTAGCAGTTACATGCAAGTGCTGAACGCTTTGGAGATTGCGCTACATTTTGCGCAGAACTCGTTTCTCTAAAGTTTGATATCCAAGCTTGAATAGTTCTTCTATCTGGAACAGAATCAGGCTAGCTGTATACGATCCGAATGTAAAATACTTGCTCAGTAGTAATCTCAGAAAAACCATTATGAATGTACCCCTCTACATTATTGTTAATTGATAACCCCCTCCGTCGCGATATCTTCACCACAACTCATACAGTAACCTCACTAAATACAGTGATACGGAGATCTTTCTGCCGCACCCAGGAGAACAAGATATAACCAGGGATTATACAGCTACTATAAGAAGTCAATACTCTGAGAATAGATCAAGAGATTGAAATGGGCAAAACATGTGGTTAGATTGGAGGGAAACAAAAATTGAGAGAGGCCAGGAGCCGATGTGTTTTGCTATTCAAAAAGAAAAAGAAGTGATGCCAGAAATTTATGATCAATCTTGGCCAAATTTTAGACTTTCGTCCTTTATAGCGTTTTGGCAAATTTTCAACTTAGTCTAAAAAATTAACGATAAAAAACTTACTTATCCATATACTGTGTTAATCTAACGTAAGCGATACAAGCCGCATCTTCTCCTAAAAGATGAACGTGAGGATTTAAAATTGTGGTGTTAACAGCTTTGCAATTTTTTCCCAAAACTAAAACGAATAACATAATTATTAAAGAAAATTTGTTTTGAAATTAAGTTACCGTTATCGAAGTAGAATTTTTGGAAATCCATTCCTTCAACTAAATTTCCCATTGCTTCGGGTTCAAAAGCTGTTAGATGTGGATCACAAATTTTCCTTCAAAACAAACATTGTCATAAATATATTAATGTTACAAGAAGCGAAAAATCTTACGTATAAGCTTCGAAATCTCCCGTGTTTATAGCTTCGATAAGTTGTTCAGTCATTTTGATGATTTCTTGTCGCCGAGCTGCGGAATTAAATGGTAGAATGTAAAATAAAACGATGACGTTTTTTCAATATTAAAGGTAGACTTATTTCTTTTTACTTAATTAGCACAAAACGAAATAAAAATACACCAGTGATAAAGAAACACATTTATATTACAACAACATCTAAAATTTATCAACAGAGTCACTACATTGAGGGCACACCAAGTACCACTGGTTTATTAACCAACATACTCATTATTGTTAGAAAATAAAAAGAAAATAGTAATAAAAAAATAAACAAAAATAAACGAGACTTACGATTAGGAAAAATTGAAATAAAATATAAATATATATAGACAAAGAGCAAGAACGCAATCACAAAAACTTACGTAAATAGGTTCCAAAAATTACTTCAGAGTACAAACATGCAGTAAAATATTTTTTTGGGTTAAATAATTTTAAAATTAATTTGTGAATTTCTTTTTAATAAAAAAAAATTAGGTGCAAAGTTAAAAAATAAGGTTAAATTTACATAGATATTTATAGAGACCATTAAAAATTCTACGAGATTGTTTTTAATTAATTAAGATTAATTTATTGATAGATATTGAAGGCAAAAAGTAGCTAATCTAAAGTTAATTAATTTAATTTAGGAAAAAATAATAAATTAGGTTGGGATTAGAGCAACTTACTTTTTAATAAAATTTATTCTCATTTTTAAGCTATAATTAGCATACCTGAACTTTGGGAATTTGTGGACAGCTGCGAGTATGGCTTTTCTGGACATACTATCCTTATTTCTACAAATAGATTGCAAAAAAATAGAAGCCGAGTTAGTACAGCTTTGGTTTTTTTATAGCTTACATGCGGGAATCGCATGATCTCTCTCATCACATTTTTTGATCGATTTTTACATCGACTTTATTTCATTTCATATAATATTATAAAAAAAAAAATTAGAGGTGAAGAAAATAATTAATAAGGTGAGTGAAAAAAGTAAAAAAGCTCATTTTTTTATAAGTATAAATAAATCTACTTTTATAAATTTAGCAGGGGGTTAAAAATAATTACAACTTGATTCAACTTTGCAACTTCTTTAATCTACTTTACCATCGAATTCATCCGGTGAACGTTGATAAGATTGCAGAAATGAGTCGTCTTTATTAATAAAAAAAAATATAGTGAATTTCACTTAAGATGCAATATACTAAAATATATTTCCATAGAAATCTAGTTATTTGTCCCACATAAAATGTAACATGTCAATATAATTTGACATTACAGTAAAATCTGGATATAATTAAACTAGACTAATACTACCACTAAAACTAACATTAGCCCTAGAACTAGAACCATTCGGGTTTAGGTATACGTCTCTTAAGACGGCTAATCCTGAATGTTAATACTTTTAGATCAAATGTTACTTCTAGTGAAACACTAGATAACATTAGTTTAGTTTAGCCGTGCGTCCTCAGACGAAACCCGAAACTTTCTAATTCTAGGTCTAGTGTTAGTTCTAGTTTTACATTAGCACCATCACTAGAACTAACACAAGACCTAGAACTAGAATCATTCGGGTTTAGCCGTCTTGAGAGACTTGCGGCTAAATCCGAATGTTTCTAGTACTCGGTCTAGTGTTAGTTCTAGTATTGCACTATCACTAGAACTAATACAAGACCTAGAACTAGAATCATTCAGGTTTAGCCGTCTTGAAAGACGTGCGGCTAAATCTGAATGTTTCTAGTTGCAGGTCTAGTGTTAGTTCTAGTATTGCACTATCACTAGAATTGACACAAGACCTAGAACTAGAATCATTCGGGTTTAGCCGTCTTGAGAGACTTGCGGCTAAATCCGAATATTTCTCGTTCTCGGTCTAGTGTTATATAATAATAATAATTTATTTAATCACCTGGCTACAAATAGTAGATGTGACAAGTTCAAACCACATACAATATATAATACACAACATACACAATATTCAACAAAGAAAGAGAGAAATTAAATTATGAAGTATGACCTATTCTAGTTGACTAGGACTAATACTAAAATTAAATGACAAGTATTCCTGGCGGTCGTAAAACGCCTTTTCTACAAGCATCATTTTTACTTTATGTTTAAATGAGCTAAGCGTATCAGCTTTTTTAATTGCAGATGGCAAATTATTATAGAGCTTTGGGAAATCATACCGTGGACTCTTTCCAAAGAAAGCCGTCTTATGATGACCCAAGTACACCAAACTACCAGATCTAGTTTCGTAATTGTGTTTCATGACAGAGTATCTATCGACATGCTCCCGCACATGAACAACTGATTTATATATATATACTTTGAAGAGTAAGAAGCGAATTGGCCTTGAATGTATCTCTACACGAATCTCTGCAGTTTAGGTCGAAGATTAATCTTATAATGCGCTTCTGTGCTACAAAGGCACGCCGCCACTCCGTCGATCTTCCCCACAATAATATATTGTATGAGAGATGCGAATAACAGAGAGCATAATACGCATCTAATAATCCCGATAGCGGGAGGCATCCCTTCAACTTCAGAATTGCATAGAAGGACGAGTTCAATTTCGAAACCAGATGATCAACATGTTTGTCAAAACTTAGCTGCTCGTCTAGATAAACACCCAAAAACTTGCAGCTATTTGATAGAATGATATCATCGGCTTGCGGAAGCCTTCTCCTCTTATGAAAATTTACAAACACGGTCTTTTTTAGATTAAGAACAATACGATTTTGTTTGCACCAAGCATCAAATGATTCAACGGTATGCTTGACTTTAGAAAAAAGCATATCAGCATCATTCGACGCCAGGGCAATTGACGTGTCATCGGCATACATGACTATGTGGACATCGGAAAGATACTCAGGAAGGTCATTTATATACAATAGAAAAATTAATGGGCCCAAGATTGAGCCCTGGGGAACTCCCAGTCGAACATTTGATTCCGATGACTCCTGACCAGAGAGGACCACTTTTATTTTTCGTTCCTCCAGAAATGATTGAAGCCAATTTAAAATCGTGCCTCGCAAACCCAAAGCATACAATTTCTGCATGATGTACACTAGTGGCAGCGAATCAAACGCACGCGACATGTCGAAGAACAGACCCACAGCAAAATTACCTTTATCCAGGTTATCGTAGATGAACTCAATAAAATTCAATGACGCAGTCTCTGTAGACAGGCCCCGCCTAAAACCATGCTGAGCATTACTAACAACATTGAACCTGTCCAGAAAACTCAAAATTCGCTCCGAGACGATGCTTTCAAATATCTTTGAAAAAACGCTAGTTATCGCTATTGGTCTGAAATTGTTGACATTTGTAGGATCACCAACCTTGAAAACTGGAATGACCCGAGAAATTTTCAGCGCCCCGGGAAAGATTCCAGAACAAACAGAAAAATTAAATAGATGCTTAAGGGGCTCGACCAGACAAGACGCTACATACTTAATTACACTCACACCGATGCCATCGCAACCCGTCGAACGTACGTTTTTAAGCGCTTGATGGCAGCTAGAATTTCTGCGGAGGATATAGTATACAAAAATATGCTATTGGGTACAGAGCTACCAACGGTGCAAGATACATCCCTCATCGGGCCATAAATCAACTCTACCTTCTCCTCAACAGATGTTGTGAAAAACTTTGAAAATGTTGAGCACATCTGCGCAGTGTCGCTAATCATATGACCATCATCCGAACGCAACAGAAAACTAGTTTGCTTCCTTCCTTTACCCAATTGGTTATTTACACAATGCCACACTGCGCGACTTCTATTCGATGACTCTATTATTTGTTTCAGAAAACTAATTAATGAAACTAAAAAGAAACATACTTCTTTTTAGTTTCATTAATTAGTTTTCTATATGAGTTAGTTCTAGTTTTGCACTATTACTAGAACTAACACAAGACCTAGAACTAGAATCATTCGGGTTTAGCCGTCTTGAGAGACTTGCGGCTAAATCCGAATGTTTCTAGTTCTCGCTCTAGTGTTAGTTATAGTATTGCACTAGCACTATCACTAGAACTAACGCAAGACCTAAAACTAGAATCATTCGGGTTTAGCCGTCTTGAGGGACGTGCGGCTAAATCTGCATGTTTGTAGTTGTAGGTCTAGTGTTAGTTCTAGTATTGCACTAGCACTATCACTAGAACTAACACAAGACCTAGAACTAGAATCATTCAGGTTTAGCCGTCTTGAAAGACGTGCGGCTAAATCCGAATGTTTCTAGTACTCGGTCTAGTGTTAGTTCTAGTATAGCACTATCACTAGAACTAATACAAGACCTAGAACTAGAATCATTCAGGTTTAGCCGTCTTGAGAGACTTGCGGCTAAATCCGAATGTATCTACTTCTCGGTCTAGCGTTAGTTCTAGTTTTGTACTAACACTATCACTAGAACTGACACAAGAACCTAGAACTAGAATCCTTCGGGTTTAGCCGTCTTAAGACGTGCGGCTAAATCCGAATGTTTCTATTTCTAGGTCTACTGTTAGTTCTAGTGAGAGTGCTAGGTAGTGTTAGTTAGCATTAGATATCACAGTTGCATATTTTTATTGAATTAAAACTAGAACTAACACTAGAACTAAAACTAACACTAGACTTAGAACTAGAAACATTCCGTTTAGCTGTGCGTCTCTTAACTCTTAACCATTTGCGTCCCAACGGTACTTTAAAGTACCGGTAGCTTTAAACACTCATTTTAAACTGTAGTGTCATCAATTCGACGCATATAGAGCTATCGAACCTGTATAAAAAATGACGCAATCCGCACTATGAGTTGGGTTGGGTTACTTATTCATCCAAATGTGAGGTTAGAAAGAGGTTTAGTGAAAAGTGGTGTTGCTGAATTTTGTTGTTCAAAAAAGTATCTCTTTGATAAATGATTAGGTGTGATTTGTAAGTAGCTTCGTGTATTGTTTACGTCTTGCAATTACAATTTTAAAACATGTCTTATTTTGTATCTTATTATTATAAAGTACCGTCAGGATAATAACACATATAATATAGAGATTGATGTAAAAATGAGCCAAGCGAATACAGATACGTTTTGGTACTTGAACAAAGCTTTGACTGACGAAGAACTTTTGGTTGAGGCTGAAAAAGTTTGTGTTGAATTAGAAAATCTCGCGTTGGATAATTCTGAATAGACAGACATAGAAGATGAAGAAGTAGAACAAATAACTAATCAAAATGAGGAAAGTGACACTGATGTAGTAGAAATACGTGGCAAGGGCCTAAGAAGAAGAATAAGGCAGAAATTGATACAAAATGGAGAAAACTGGAAAAATAGACTGAAATTCTAGGATAGGATTATCCAGAGAGTATAATTACTTTGATACTTTTGCAACTTGCACTGTGTGAAAGATATTATCTTTTAAAGTAATTTGTACGCCACCCAATGGAATAAAACGCTAAACTTGAAAGAAGAAAAGTTTCTGTGTTTCCTTGGCATAACTTTCTTAATCACACTTTTTCACACTTTGCTAAGCTATTAACTTTTTTGGAGTAATACTGAAGACTTGGGTGTACCACTTGTCATAGAAACAATGACCCGTAACAGGGTTCAGGAGATTTGATCCGCATTTTGAAATACTTAACCGTCAGTTCCCCAGTTATTATCATGGTACTAGGCAGTTGGGTGTGGATAAATCCATGATAATCTTCAAAGGGAGGTCAAGTAGGAAACAATTCAATCCCATGAAGCCCATAAGAAGAGGTTATAAGCTTAGCAGATAAGAAATTTGATGTGTATCAGGGAAAAACTTCTGAAACTGAAGAAAAATGTCAAGATTATGGATTAGGTGAAAGGATTGTCCTTCAACTTAATGAAGACGAGTGGAATAAAAATAGAATGATTTATTTCGATAACTTTTACCGGATCTCAAATTTAAGGACAGTAAGTGAGTGAAATTTTGCTC